AAAACTGATGGCACCTTATCTGGTAGGGGCATACATTATATACCGATAACGGGTACACAAGCCCATTACTCAGTGATTTCATGCGAGTGAACAAGACAGATGTGTGTGGCACAGTGCCATTCTAATCATAAACATATCCCAGGCTCAACGCAGTGCTCGTGGTGATGACGTGCAGGTGTTTAACTGCCAATGACATATGGCTTTACGGTGGAAATAAACAAACGAGATGCCCAAAATTGTTGCCCAGCCATTCACCGTAATGAAATGCAAGACAGTGGCAAAGTTGATCGAGTGACTAATGAACGTTTTCAAAAACCAGTGACAATGATTGATTATACACAAAACATGCACTTGGTTGACAAATGTGACATGCAGATTGGTTTTGTTGACTGTGTTCATAAGAGTTACCAGTGATACATGAAACTTTTCTTCCACTCATGGACATTTCAAGCTCAATGCAATAATATATACCAAATAAAGACTGGCCAACAGACCACCGTATGGTGAATTTTGTTTGTCTGTTGTCAGACAACTCATAATGAAGTACCAGGTAAGAACACTTGCTATACAACAAGGTCCTCGAATTACTCAGGATATACCCAAGCGTTTGAGGAGGGAAGGTGATCATTTCATAATACAGCTTCCTTCAGCTTGGAAGAAATTTGCTCAGAAGAGATACATCGTCTGTGCACAAACAAAACGACGGCAACAAAGACGCAAAGACACTCAAATTCAAATTCAAAGTTTATTCTCTATAAAGATTACAATGTTGAATTTACATAATTTGGTTGTTGTGTGGTTTACATGTAGTTAAATAATGATTACAGAGTGTACCACTAGAACGCCTAGCATGGCTAGGCATTTCGGGCAGACTTAGTTTAATTCTTTATTTTAAAATATTACAGATTATGAGGTAAGTTGGTATTATGGCTAAGTGACTAAATACTAGTTTGTGAGTTTAGCAATGTGAATGCTTTTGTTTTGGCACAGTACATAGTTTCAGTATTGGAGTAATCATAGGATTCATTATTTTAAGATTGAGATTAATATTTCTGTTTATGGTCAAATGGGTGAGTGAGTGTAAGTGTGAACCACCAGGGTATTCGTGTAGTTAGTTGATGGGTTATCAGGGAGATAAGATGTTTTCTAATGTAGTTTTGAAGGTGTTTGAATGGGGTCTGCAGTTCTAGAGTTCTCAGGTAGGGTGTTCCCGATTTTAGGCCTTTTGACATACATTGAATTTTTGTAAAGGTTTAGTCGGACATGGGGAAAGTCGTAGAGATGTTTGTGTCTGTGTTATGCCTGTGGGTTCTGTCACAACTATCAAGGAAAAGTGTTTAGTCAAAGGGTTGATATGGAGTTTAAGGTCCTGTAGATGTAGATTGCACAGTAGTAAGTGTGGATGTAAATGAACAGGGAGTAAGTTAGATCTATGAAGAGGGGGGGGTGTTGCCAGGGATGGGATTTAGTGATTATTCTTACTGCAGCTTTTTGTTTGGGTTATTATTGGCTTTAGGTGTGTTGCTGCAGTTTTATCCCCAAGCACAAATTAGCATAGGCGAGGGATGGATAAATAAGCGAGTGGTATAGTGTGAGAAGGGCATTTTGCGGCACATAGTATCGTATCTTGGAGAGGATCCCAACTGTTTTGGATACTTTTTGTTATGTGTTGGATTATGGGTGCTAAATCACAGGTTGTTGTCAAGGTAAGGGGCTGGAAATTGCCCTCATTATGTCTGGTAATTAGAGTGTTGTCGATCTTAATGTTAATTTGGGTGCACTCCAGCTCGCTACCAAACATAATATAAGTAGTTTTTGTCTGTTAAGCGTAAGTTTATTGGCTGTCATCCAGTCGATATTTTGATCACTCCTCGTTAACAATGGTGTTTGAAGGGTGGCAGATAGGGTGAAGATGACATAAGGGTTCGTGTCGTCAGCCAAAGAGAATGGGTTTCATGTGTAGGGATACTTTTGGAAAGATCATTGATGTATATGAGGACGAGCAGGGGACCCAAGGACCTTCCCTGCGGAACTCCAGTATCAGTGCCAGTTGTTGATGCTTGTGTCCTTTACCTTTGACTGTTCCGACTATAAATACTCGTATACGAGCCAATTTTGCGTAGTGACGTATTTATACGCATAATTCTAGCAGCTTCTAAATCAGCAGAAAAAGCTGCTAGGTCCCACATGAGAGAGAATGGTCACCATGGTCAGTGAACACACCACATAAAAAAAATCGGGGAGCCAGTGTGCATTGTGGGAATGCCATTTCAGTTGTCATTTTTCAGCATGTCTAGTGGTAAGAATATGTGATTCCCGCAAATCTGGACGTCTTCTCTTCCCAAGTGATGCTCTTGACACAGATGGAAGTGTCAGTGAAGATCAATTTCAAGATTTGGGAGGGAGTTTAGAGACCAAAAGCAATGGAGAGGAGGAGGGGGAGGAGGGGAGAAGAGAAAGGAGAGGAGAGGAGGGAAAGGAAGAGGAGGAGGAGGAGAGGAGAAGAGGAGGAGGAGGAGGATGAGGAGGAGGAGGCAAGAAGAAGATGTAATAATATTGTTCCCTTGAACCAGAAAAAAAAAAGTTCCACCCCATGACATGACAAGATAAGGGGAGAAAACATCTGATAAGAGCTGACTTTGATGAGTCGTAAAGGAGGGTAATAGTACATGACCATCGCCTCCCTTTGTTTATGCCTGTAACAACAAACATTTCGGTCTGTCTATTTGTCTGTCTGTCAAGCTCCCTGTCTGTCCCCCCATCTAGCTCTCTGTCCCAGTGATAGCCACAAGACTGTGTCATCAACGATTTACTCACATCTTCACGCAGAGTATAGCACTTTGTCTGGAATTCTTATTATCCCTATGTATTTACACTATGTATAACTTTGTAATTTATGTGTACCAGAGAGAACAGAGATAGGCAGACAGAAAGAGAGACAGATTGAAAGATATAGAAGAGGGAGAAAGAAAATAGAATAAATGGAGGAGGGGAAGCACATCTCCGACCCATTGTTTTTGACAGGGTAGGGTAGTGACTATAGACAATTGTCACTTTGACAGCTGCCGGACTTTCTGACTCAAACAATTATAAGCCATCACACTCGCACACTAGACAAGAAGGAGAGAAGGAGAAGAAAGGAGAGAGAAGGAAGAGAAGGAGGAGAAGAAGAAGGAAGCAGAGGAGAAAAAAGGAGAAGAAGGAGAAGAAGAAGGAGAAGAAGAAGGTGATAAAAGAAGAAGGAAAGAAGAAGGAGAAGAAGAAGGAGACAAGAAGGAAAAGAAGAAGGAGAAGAAGAAGGAGAAAAGAAGAGAAAGAAAAGAAAGACGAAGGAGAAGAAGAAGGAGAAAAGAGAAAAGAAGAGAAGAAGAAGGAGAAGAAGAAGGAGGAAGATAGAAGGAGAATAAGAAGGAGGAGAAGGAGGCGAGGAGAAGGAAGGAGAAGAATAAGAGATCAATAAGAAGAAGGAGAAGGAGAAGGAGAAGGAGAAGGAGAAGGATAAGAAGGAGAATGAGAAGGAGAAGAAGAAGAATGTTTGTTTGTTTGTTTGTTTG